GGAGGGCGGCTAAGTCTTTTCTCCTGGGAGGGGCCAAGGCAGGCAATGATCCCGTCCAGGACGTAAGGGTAGATAAAGCAGTTACCTGGCAGCAAGGTGATCAGGATCTTCCTGGGAAACAGAAACAAACATGGCAGAAATAAAGAGCCTCTCATGTGGTCAAACAGGGTGAGATGGATTTTGATTTAGGGAGCAAGATTAGCTGGGGTCGAATTCTAGAGGCCTGAATACAGTGTGCAGACTTTATTCTTTAGACCCAGGGAAGCCCATTGCAGGTTTGGTTTGGTTTTGTTTTGATCTTCTCTTGCAGTTTTTGATCAAGGGAGTGACTCTGTAATTGGGATGTTTCAGATCAATGGATCTCGCGGTAGCAGACTGGGAAACAGCTTCTCTCCAAGATAGGTTTTTCAAGCCTAATTTCTCTTCACCTCTTTGGGGGTCTTTCTCTCTTTCCTTGGTGTCCTCTTAGAGATTCCAGAAGCCCCCATCACATGCACGTGTATTGTAGCATCCCAGAGCCATAATGTTCCAGAAAGGAAAACAATCACCAATGACAGCCATATGAGGGTAGCAGTTACAGTGTTCTGTAGCCAAGTACAGCTGTGCTCAAAAACAAACCTCAAATCCCCTCAATTTCAATTACCTTATTTAGGGATTTTGCTAGAGGTATACAGCAATTCTGGAGGCCAACTGTTATTCTTCACACCGTAATTTCAAAGTTCAGATATCCTACCTGCTAATGAGTCAATGCCCAAAAGTAACTTTAAAATCTTGTTGCTAGGGATCCCTGGGTGGCGCAGCGGTTTAGTGCCTGCCTTTGACCCAGGGCGCGATCCTGGAGACCCAGGATCGAATCCCACGTCGGGCTCCCGGTGCATGGAGCCTGCTTCTCCCTCTGCCTGTGTCTCTGTGCCTCTCTCTCTCTCTCTGTGACTATCATAAAATAAATAAAAATTAAAAAAAATAAAAAAAATAAATAAATAAAATAAAATCTTGTTGCTATTTTGTTTTTTGCTCCAAGAATAAGTAAAGAGAACCACAAGAAATACTCAGGTTATCTTCACAGCATAGAATGAGTCAACCACCTCCAATTAGGATAATTCTTTAAAGAATTCAGAATAGACTCATGAAATGTAACATCAGGGCCACACTGTCTCCCAGCTGACTCTGAGAATTCTTTGACGTTTGCAACATCTAAAAACTCATCTCTGAACAGCACATCACATCTGATGATCACCTGTAAGAATACTACTATCCGGAACCCAAATTCTTTCTCTCCCTTTGGGATTATGTCCATCTTCCCCTTTATTTGAATTATCTTGCAGATTCCTGGTCTCAAGTGTCCTGCCCTAAGCCCAGGACACTTGAGAGTCTCCGTGTTCTCAGAAGCCTAATAGTATCATCAAGATGACAAGAGAAACAGTCATCGGTAATGACAACATTCTATACACATTCTATCAGTAGATCACTAACTGCCACATGCCCACAAAGCTCTGGGGGCTTCAAGGAGAAAAGAGATGATGAGATCATCCAGAGAATTACTCAGTCTCCCTAATTGCTAGCATACAGTTCTAAAGTTTCCAGTAGAAACCCTTATTTTCAGGATTTTATAACTTGGCACTTGCGATCCACTGTCAACTTAAACTTGACATGAAAGGCCCCAGGCGTAGAAACATAATCAGCTCATTCTGAGTTATATTTAAAAAAAAAAAAAAAAAAGACAACAAACAAACTCCAATCATTCACCAATGGCTCTGCTTAAAAATGACATTTTACAAGCAACCATTCCTCAGGTGACCATTCTGCCATCAATGCCATTGGCCATCAACATCCATCAACCACAGAGAATTCTAGAAGGCAGAAGCCACACATACCATCGAATAACCTCCTGAGCTCCTGCAGGGGGTGGGGTAGGGGCGCATTGAGGGGGAGAAATGTGTTGTTTTAAGCCAGATTTCCACATCCATGGTTTCCAGCACATGAAAATGCTCTGCCTATTAAGGATTTTATCACCAGTTAATTTTTTTCAGGGCATATTTATACCAAAAAAAAAACGTGATTTAAGATGCATTTTGTAGCGGTTTCAGCTCTTTTCTTTCCTCATCAGCACTGGTCTCCTGGTGATGACTGGAGGCCACAATTAACCAAGCAGCTGCCCTTGGCTAGCCTCTGCTTGGGGTGTTCAAAGCCCATCAGACAATTCTCACCATGTCATTATTATTGCTAAGCAACAACTGGCTAGCACTGACCCTGAGTGAGTGAAGCAAATGCTGTTTCAGAAACTCGACAGTTTTAAAAGGATCACTGTACAAAGATCTAGCTGCCCACCTGCGGAAAGCAAATGGGAATAATAAAACAACACTGATGAAAATTATAAGGACAGTGCAGCTTAGGATATTCTTATGAATAAGAATGTCTCCAACTCCCCACTACCATGTGCCGGGCAGGCTGACATAGGCAGATTTTCTTTGCTCTATGTATTTATCAGTTGTTTTACACATATTGGGAGTTACTCAAAGTCAGGAATCAATTCCCATCTAGAGAGGTGTATATTCTGGTCCTATGGATACTAAAATACACCGAGTAATCAAGGAAAAGATCAACACTGTCTTAAAAGTGAGTTATGTGAGGGGGCACTTGGCTGGCTCAGTAGCTGAGCATCTACCTTCAGCTCAGGTCATGATCCCAGGGTCCTGGGATCCAGTCCCACATCAAGCTCCCCACAGGAGCCTGCTTCTCCCTCTGCCTATGTCTCTGCCTCTCTCTGTGTGTCCCTCAAGAATGAATGAATGAAGAAATAAATAAACAAATAATATTTAAAAAATAATTAAAAAGAAAAGTGAATTTTCTGAGAGGGGAATGAGAAGGAAATGAAGGAGTCTGGTGGGGAGGTGGCCTTCAAACAGTGAGACTGTGATTCATGTTGATGAGAAGCAACATGCTCCAAATGACAGCCTGAATGTTACCAAAGGGAAGCCACTGAACACGTATGAGGTGCATGTCAGTCTTCAAGTCTGCACGGCACCTAAGGGAAGCACCTAGAAGTCACTGCCACATAGATAAAGGGCTGCTGAATTCTGACATGAGAGCTGGCTAGAAATGCAGACTTTCAGGCCCCAAACCTACCGACTTAGATTCTGCATTTCCACAAAATTCTCAGGGGGGTTGACATAGATCGAAGTCTGAGAAGCACCATTATAGTCAATGGAGGTAAAGGGCAGTGGGGGTGGGAAGGCAGTGGGGTGGGAATGGACCTGGGATAAGAGAGCTAAGTACACCGCACACTCTGGTTACCTCTTGGCAGGAACAGCTTGACCAATCATTTAATTTTATAGCGCCTCGTTTTCCTCTTCTATAGAGGAGGAATTGAAACATTTCTCAAAATTCTGCAATAGTAGGTGGCTTTTTGTCGCTTAAACTCTCACAGGAAACCTGACCGTGTAAGCCAAATACAAGCACAGTGCCCCAGTGAGAAAGAGCCATGTGTGATGCTGATAAACACCATTCTTATTTCTGAAGGCTCATATTAGCATTCTTCTGTTAACTAATGCGAAGCAGATAGAGAATACACTGTGGGGGAGATGCCAGGCAGCTTCCCTCTGGGTTGGGGTCCCTCCAGCCCCAGTTTCCACCTACAAGTGGGCACTGATCTTATTATCCACTTTAGATCAACAAATAGGTGTTGAGTTTTCCTTTCACCAAGAGCATAACCCATGCCCCAGGACGGGTTAATTTAATTACGTGTTCCACATGAGTTTGAATGCATGGGCCCACTTATATGCACATCTTCTTCAATACAGTACAGTGAATGTATTTTCTCTTCTTGTGGATATTCTCAACATTTGGGGGGCTTACCTTATCATCCAAATTTAGTATATAATACATATAATTTATGAAATACACGTTGATCAACTGTTACTATTTATGTTACTGATAAAGCTGCCAGTACATAGTAAGTTATGAGTCGTGGGGTTCTGGGGAAGTCCAAAATTCTGCTTTCAGATTTTTTATTTTAATGGGGGAAAGGGATGGCATTCCTAACTGCCACTTTGTCCAAGGGTCAACACACGTGTTATACATATGCAGATATACATATCTACACACACACATCTATCTATACACACATACCCACAAGTACACACACATGTTTTAGAATATGGCTGACCTCAACAGAATGACAGGGGAGAGGGGATTGGGAAAACCCACATTCACTGAGCACATACTAAGTGGCAGGTTTGGTACCTAACACTTTGCATAAATGATCTCAATTTTTTATCCGCGACCCTACAGGGAGGTGCTATTATCCCTTGTAAAGTAGGACACCGAAATAGCGAAGTTAAATCCTTTCCCCCAAAGTCACACAGATCACTAAGTGATGGGCATAGCTTTGGATCCCAGTTTCTTTTTCTCTGGAAGCTTTCTACCTTGCTCCAAATTCATGCTGATGTCAACAGACCTAACCATCAAAAGGCAGTGTTACACATCTCCCCACCAACAGAGCATCATGATTGCCTCCAAGAATTCTTTCTAAACCAATGATTCTGCAACTTGTTTGTACATTAGAGCCACTTGGGGAATCTTTTAATATCCAGATGGCTAGGCTAAACCCCAGACCAATTAAATGGGATGCTCTCCTGTCTCTCCTGTTTGAAGAGATTCCAGGTTTAGTCCAAGTTCTAGTTGAAATTCCATAGAGGCTGAGATCTCTAAGATTAATTTACTTTCTCACTAGGTAAATTTTTCCAGGAAAAGGTCTACCAGGATCAGTGGCTACAGAGACCGTTACATATGCCTCAGGGATCAGGCATGCTGGGAAACCTCCCTTTTAAATCTAGGTCTTCAGATTAGAATATTACTTTCTCAACATTTTCTAAGACTTCCTAATTCAAGTACAATATTTTTGTATTTTTAACTAAGCCAGGAACACCACAATGAACAGGTCCATGAGCTGTGTGGATAAGCCTCATTTGAAAAGCAATTTCAAAATGAACTCTACTTACTCCAGCTGTTGCCACATCTGCTCTGTCCTGTTCATTCCCCTGCCAGCTGCCACCAATACACATGCTCAGGGTCTGAGATCAAGAGGGACCCACTGGATTCTGAAAGGCCAAGAGGAGGAATGAGAGAAGGATGGAGAGCAGAGGTTATATACTTTCAAACCTGAGCACTTACAAAGGATGAGCTCTTTTTATCCATAAATTCCAAGTGAGGCTTTAATTGGGACAAAGCAAATCTCAGACTGGAATTGTGGGAAATCCTGAAAAAGAGGCATTTATCCCATTACTTTACCTTCTGTTAAGAGCATGGATTCCACCTCCACCGCAGTTAGGCACAGGGTTGTCCATTTGGCCTGTGGTTTCTCCAGGCCTGTTCTGATCACTACTACATCAGCAGCCCCCTCTCTTTTCCCCCTTTTATAAGTTTTGTTTCTTTGTTTCTTTTTAATTTGGAGTTCTACATCAAGTTTCTGTTTTGTTTTGTTTTTTATCACTTGGATCTACTTTTTCAACAAGAGTTCCAAGATGTCTCATTTAATTCTGTGATTATATTTAGAGACTTCAACTACTGTCAATTATACACTGGTTTCAATAACTACCTCCAGGCTTTTAAAACATGAGGTTGTGTTCTTGGGTTTTTCTTTTCATCAGCAAGATCCACTCTCAAGTACTACTGCTGGGAAGGACACATGATATTACGTCCTTCATCTTTGCCTCACTCTGAGTCTTGACACAGGCATACCATCCATCCTGATTTTAAGCAGCCTACTCTGTATGTTCATCCAGCCCCACTTAGATTTATTCAAGTATCACCAACAGTGACTACAAGTAGAGTTCCCAAGTGTCCCCAAGAGCCCCCAAAGAGTAAGATTAAAATGCATCTAAGGTCACCTAGCAGTGTGGCATTGCCAAATTCAATGAGAATGAATTTTCTATCTATGTCTCAAATAAGAAAACGGGCAAGTAGATCTCACTCTGATGGGCATTTCACCCTATGAGTCACAGATTCCATTTCTCCAGAACCCCACCAGTTAAAACCCTGGCCCCAACACTTAGCAGTTATGCAGTACCTCCAAGTTTCCATTTCTGAACCCATTGTCTCATTTTAAAATGGAGTCGTAGTAGTTTCTACATCATGCAGTTGCTATGGGACAATGCTTACAACAGGGCCTGGCATATAGTGTGTGTGTGTGTGTGTGTGTGTGTGTGTGTGTGTGTCCCCTCCATAAAGGATAGCTTCTATTATTTCTAAGAATGCTCCAAACAATTCATCTCTCTGGGGTGTGGTCTAGGTCAGTATCAGAAAGTACTGGTGGTCTACTTATTCCCAGTTGTCCTTGGAAGCCAATGAGGCAATGATTCCCATAATAAACAAGAACTACTCTGAATATGCCTCTTGCTGGGTTTCCCAGATGGCTCAGTGGTTGCACATCTGCCTTCAGCTCAGGATATGATCCCGGGGTTCTGGGATCGAGTCCCACATCGGGATCCCCACAGGGAGCCTGCTTCTCCCTCTGACTATGTCTCTGCCTCTCTCTGTGTGTCTCTCATGAATAAATAAAATCCTAAAAAAAAAAAAAAAAGAATATCCCTCTTGCACAGGGATATCCCTCTGCCTTCGCCTTCCACACTCCTCACTGCAAGCTGCACCTTTTGGCCAAATCCATGACCATCTTCAAACAAGAGCATCGAGGTTAAAAACATGGCATAGATATGCTTTCAACCAGCAGTATTCATGCATTTGAGCCTCCTTGCTTAACCAAATAGTTACTTTTTCACAAATGTTTGATGAAGCAATGAACATACGTGCTGGGTCAAATATTGGGTTATTGGCCCCCAGTGGTGAGCAAAATAGAATCAGGACTTTGTTGTATTAAAGTATTCGTTGCAATAATTAAAACAACAGCAACAACAACAACTTAGTCCTACATTCAAGTATGAGACAGGAATGGTGTAAAACAGCTGAACAATAGACTGACGGATGTTTTGACCAGGTAATATTGGTATTGTTTTTCAAGAGTTTCCAGAGGTAATATACAAAGAAAGCAAAAGGATGTCACCAAATTGTCATTTAAAAGTAACCTTTTTGTGAAACACTTCCAAATCAAAGTCATAGCTTGTTAATGAGAGGCACTGTGTACTGGTTAGAAATGGTGACCTGAAGATCCCGCCTCTGCCATTTATCCCTGTGTGACTTAAGGCAATGTCATGACTCCTTAAAGCTTCTCTCAAAAATGGGGACAATACTAGTATTACCACATTAGCTGTTTTAAAAGTTAATAAATTTAAAGCACTTAAACTGGTGCTTAGCACATGATTCATGCTATTTAAGTACTCACTTTTACTGTTACTAACATTTCATAAAATACCCAACAGCATCTTTTTTGAAAGCAAGTATTACTATGGTATCAGATTGGGATTGTGGTGGTAGTTCCTTTGCAAGATGTCAACAGACACACAACTACATAAAGAATTCCCTCTTGTGTCGGGGTCCATGTTCATATGTTCTTGGTCAACTCTTGGAACCTTTCAAAGGTTTATTTATCTATCTAACGTTCGCTGCTTGTGTATGTTTTTACTTCAACATTTAGATATAAGTGACACTCCCAACTTCAAAGAAGCTTTTTGGTATTGTAATTGCCTTAACATCTAGCACCTAATAAGTGCTCAGTAAGTCTCTGGATAACTAAATGTATGAGCCAGCCATATTCACTGCTAATTAATGTATTTATTATCAATATGAATGAGCCCATGTGTTTACTAGTACCCAATTAATTAATGATCTAAGACTGTTAGCTTCCTGAGAGCAGTTAGAACCAAGGACACAGGTCCTTGACAGGTACATAGGAGTCTCCATCACTAATCAACTTACTATCCTTGCTTTAATCTTACTAAAACTGGAGTACTGGGTGGCTCAGTTGGTTAAGCAACTGCCTTTGGCTCAGGTCATGATCTCAGGGTCCTGGGATTAAGCCCTGTGTCAGGCTTCCAGCTCAGTGGGGAGCCTGCTGCTCCCTCTCCTTCCCACTTCTGCACTCTCTCTCTCTTTCTATCTCTCTCTCTCTCTATCAAATAGATGAATATTTAAATAAAAACATCTTACTAAAACTAAATTACTTCTATTTTTCCAAACGTCAGACTGCATACACCTCTGTACTTCTGCTCCCATCGTTTCCTTTGACTTTCTTACATGGAAAATTGAAAGTCAATCTCTAGCTCAAAGTAAGCGACCTCCTTATAAATAAGTATTAGTAACATTTTTGTAACTCTAAAAAACCTTCTAAGAAAACTCAAATAGGTGGTACAGTTACCAGTTTCAGCCTAACAAACCTCCTGAAAAACTTAGTGGTTTAAAAGAAGATTGTTTCGCTATTTCTCATGGGTCTGTAGGTTGACTGGTCGAGTTGTTTAGTTCACAGGTGGGGTGTCCCATAAGGTTGCAGTGAGAGGCCATCTGGAACAGCACTCACACAAGGCTTGGCTAGAATGGACACCCAAAATAACACCCAAAATAACACCCAAAATAACTCCTTCTCATGGCTCACAGCTGATGCTGGCTATCTGCTGGGAATTCAGCTGGGGCTATTGATGCATCTACAGAGGGCCACACCAGGTTATCTGAGAAATTCTCATGTCAGAAGATGAGTTAATGAGAGGGACCATTGCAAATGTTAGCATTAGCAAGGACAGGAAATGGAAGCTGCCAGTAACTTAGTCACAGAGCCAAACCAAAACAAAGGGCCCAGAACACAGACCCCATCTTGATGCAAGAAGCATCACAGAATTTCAAACTGTCTTTTATCTATTACAATGATTATTTGTTCCTTTAGCAATTCAAATATACTCATTTTAAAAATTACGTTGCAGTTAGAAAACTTAGAGTATAATGCATATGAGCTTATACTGAAAGTCTAAGTGACTAGCCTAAGCTGGACACAAATTAGATACCAAGTCCGTGTAAATTGGAAGCCAACTAACAAGCCTGGAAGCCACAATGATTTTGGAAGAGAGATACAGGATTCAAAAATTTTCAGAGATTATTATGGACCAAAACCCATTTTAATGTCTAATTCTATAAATTGTGTGCAGTTCTCACAACAATGAATAGTTTAACCTCTGAAGACATGTAGTGGACAAACTTAGTAATAATCAATAAAATATTTCAATTTATGTTCATCTCTCATGGGAAATACATTGAACTCAATCTACCCCCTCAGATACTACATTTATTGTATTCAGTATGTTCCCCCTGACTTCTCTCAAGTATACCATTTCCATGTGTGCCTGACCAGACTTCCCACAGCCAAACCCTGCATCGCTAAGGACGGTGTGTATGCGAGGGCTGCCAGGAGAAATCTTCAGCCACTGAATGAAAGCTATGGGGACAGAGATACCTCAGATTCTTTGCTCCTTGGCAAGTAATTCTAAGGCCTCTGTTTTGAATTACCTTCCAGTCATTTTGTGTGCAGATCAACTATCCCACTATGGGAGGCGATTTAAGAAGGCACACTCATGGGCAGCCCAGTGGCTCATCGGTTTAGCGCCGCCTTCGGCCCAGGGCGTAATCCTGGAGACCCAGAATCGAGTCCCACGTCAGGCTTCCTGCATGGAGCCTGCTTCTCCCTCTGCCTGTTTCTCTGCCTCTCTCTGTGTGTGTCTCTCATGAATAAATAAATTTTAAAAAATAATAATGAAAATAAGGGACACTCACTTGCTGTCTCTCCTCTATCAGCTCACTTTCCTACACTGGTGCTCCCTGACCTCTTAGTAACTTCCTGGCCTCACAACATTGACTTAGGTAGGTTTCTGGGAGAATCAAAGTGAAGATAACCAATTACAGTTTTGAGAAAGCAACGTGAATAATCTGTGACTAAAACTTAAGATATAGGTCCAACCTGATCCCAGTCTGTCCCTGTGACAAACTTAAAAAGAATATTCCATAAATAGGTCACAACCCATTAGTCACCTATGACTGTCAGTATTTGCAAGTAACAAACAGAATTTTTATCTGGTTGCTGAATGCTTACAGGTTCATAGGCTGGAGTAATCCCTGAAAAATCAACATAAATGCAACTAGAAAGGGGTTTTTTTTTTAATAATAA